AGCCAGGAGAGGAGGGGATGGGACTCAGCTCTGTCTATTCTGTCCAAACCAGGCGCTTTAGCCTCATTTTCTTACTTCCTTCTTATGGCTCCCTGATAGGTGGATAGTGCTATTTCCTGTTTTACATGGGAAAAGCCCTCCAGATCCAAAGAAGTGACTGTCTTTCTAAAGGTACATTCTGAAGTAGGAGAGTACCAGTTCAAATGAGGCTGGCTCCTTCCAAGGCATGTTGCGGTACATATGCCTTTCTCCATTCTTCCCCAAATTGTATCTCCTTTTTCATGTGAAGTTTAAAAAAAATGTTTCTCAGGATCACCTTGTAAATATGCTGATCTTTATTCTTAACCATATAAAAGCATTTTTCAGAAGACTTGTTTATTTTATGTGCATGAGAATTTTGCCTGAATGTATGACTGTGCATCACACGTGTGTCTAGTGCCCCCATATTGAAGTCAGGAGAGGACCTGTGGGCCTCTGGAACTGGAGTTACTGTGGTTATGAGACACCCTATGGGAATCAAACCCAGGTCCTCTGCGAGTGCAGCAATGCTCTTAACTGATGAGCTGTCTCTCCAGACCTCTTGCCCATTTTTTGATAGGACTCTATTCTCTTTTCCCTAAGTCCCAGGTGGCATCAGTTTGCATAAACTATGCCCACTGGACTTTACTACAGTTGGCTTTACCAGCTTGACCTGACATATTTTTAAAGAAGCTGAACAGTAGTGAGAAGGACCCCAGCCCAGCTCTTTGCATTGGCCTGGGTGCATATGACTTTTCCCTCCAGATATGGAGGCTCTGTGGTTTAGAAGAAGGGGAGAGCCACGAGTCTCTTCCTTCCCAGCCTGGTGGTAAGGCTGGTTTGAAAGCAGGTCTTGCACCAAAGCCTGTCATAGACCAAACATTGTAAAAGACAGAATGCACAAAAGCATCCAAAACCCCAGGAAGCCCCTCCAGCACCCCACAAGAATTTGTAGTTATTCATGAACACATACCTTTACAAGGGGGTCAGCCCCAGGAGATCCCAGAGCTTCTGGGAGCTACACATGTTCTGTTTCTGAAGTCAGGTGGTAGTCACTTGGGGAAGTACAGTTCCGTATATACACTAGGTTGATGTACTTTACTGGGAAACCTCAGTCAAAGAAAAATGGATGTAAATGACCTTTCTGCGTGTGACAGGGAGACTGTTACATTTTGTTCACATCAGCATGTTCCTTGAGATAGATGGAGGTCTTCCCATGCAAGGGCCGCTGGGTGAGGTGCAGCACTTGAAGGTCTTTCGTGGGGTGGTCCTCATCTCACCCCTGAGTCATCAGCTCAGGGTCCTGGCCCCACATGCCTCCTGATTTATCCTTACAACTTTCCTAAGTCAATACAGGCAAGACAGCTACTTGAAGTAGAAGATGTCGCTTAGTTGAGGCCACACCTTCCCTACAGTGGGCCCATGGCAACCCTGCAGAGTTCCTGAGAGTAGAAGCAGGGATCCTTCTCTCTGACAGTCCTGGCTTAGCCTTGTGGAGTCCCTGAGAGTGGATGTGGTACTTGTCCCTGTACAGTGACCACCAGTGGTGCCCGGGACCCCTAGACATGGGGCACTGCTCCTGTATTCTTTGCTCTAGGAAGTGAACCCATCCTCTTCCTAGAATGAGCTTTCTTCATCTTTTAGAGGGCAGCAAGGTCCTGGGGAACAAAACAGCAGTTTTTTCCTGGCTCGCACCCTCAGGCTGCTTTAGTAATGGGTATGGAGGAAACGGGAAAGAGAAAGGGGTGTGGTGCTGGCAGGGGCCTTCACCCTAAGTGCCAACTCAATGAGTATTGGTTTCTAACCCACTTAGAGCCTTGGCCAACGGGATAGTTCCCTCCAAAATGAGGTTGGCAGAGTCGGGAGATAAAGATAACCCCTTTCATCAGTTGCCCGAGTCAGGGTCTGGACTTCTCATTTGGCAGGGTTTCATGGTTCCTGTGACTCATTTTATTGCCCAAGGCATGCTCCCTCCTTCTCATTTCACACATACCTCTCCTTCCATGTTGTCCTTTATCAGAACCATAGGTTTGGAAAAACAAAACCTGGCACCCACAGACAGAAATCCTTTGTTAGTATTCCTAGTCCACTGTGGACATGTTGCCGTAGTGATTATTGTATACACACACCACACACACACTCCTGTGTTCAGTTATTGAGGATACCATTGAATTCTCTTTTTTTCTCCCTTTTTTAGACACCAGGCAACACTGTTAACTAAACAAACTGTTAATACGTCTTGGCACTTTTTGGCTAGTTGAATTTGCTCCTGATTCAGCCACACTTAGTCACGCCCTGTAAGCAGAAGAGTCAGTGTTGTTTGCTTTCAGGCCTAGGCATTGCTGGAGCCAACTTGCAATGCTTCTAGCGATGGAGAACACACTAGCGTAACATGGAGCGTTAGTTGCTTTTCCGTTGCTGTGATAGAGAAAACATAAAGCAACAAAGGAAGTTTATAGATGGAGAGCTTTCCTTGGGATTGTGGTTCCAGAGGAATGAGCCATAGGTATAGCTGAAGGGACAGGAAGCTCAGGGCCCACAAAGCAGAGAGTGAGCAGCAAGGAGGCAGAAGCCTTAAGCTTTCAAAGCCCACACCCAGTGACATACTCTCTTCAATAAGGCCACACCCAGTGACATACTCTCTTCAACAAGGCCACACCCAGTGACATACTCTCTTCAACAAGGCCACACCCCCTCAAGCCCTCAGAAAACAGCTTCCAAAACCAGTGTCACCAATGAGGGGCCAAGTGTTCAAACGCATGAACCCAGAGTTGGGGGTGGGGTGTCTCATTCAAAGTACCACACATGGGAATTGACTTCTGTGGCTGTAGGTCCCTTACCTTATTTTCTGAGATTTAGATATCTCACTGCATTGTTTTTTATTTTAACTTACAACTTTAGTGTAATCATTTTAAAGAGCAAAGTGCCAGGAAGGCATTACAAGATTTGAGTATTTAATAATTAATCCCGTTTGATATCTTATCAGACCAATTGGCTCCTGGACAGTCATATAGCAGCCTTCTTTAAAAATATTGGACTATGTAAACATTCTAACTGAGCGGATTGAATAAAATATTGTTCCACTGTCAACATGTGTGGGGTAGTTGTAGAATTTAGTTGAACTCAGTGTGTTTAATAAGGTCCTGGCCTTCTGCAGCCCAAACCAAGCACATCCATTGCCCTTAACCCCAAGGCTGTGGCTGAAGATGGTGCTTCTGGGGACTGCTCTATGAGGTCCCCCTTCGTGTAAGACTCCCTATCGCTGACTGTAACTGGTGGCAGCTGGCAGCCTCAATAGTTACGTGGAAGTGGGGGTCTTGGTCATTGCTTTTCCCCACCCTAGGTACTTTGCGGTCCATGAGTTCAATACATCAGATGGTGTAACAACACTCTTATTGCTGCACCTGGCCACTAGGGGCGCACCTGTTCCCAGCTCCATGTTTAAAAGCTAAGACAGTGCCCTTCCCTCCTCTTGCTGTGTGATCTGACTAGTGACCTAACTTACTAGAGGCTCTGTGGTCTTCTCTGTAAAATAGAGATAATATCCTCCCATAAGTCTGTTGAAGAATGATACAGTTCTTGTGGGAATCCTTGTTATAGCATTTGTCACGGAGTAGCATGTTCTCTCTCCACTATTTACTGTTTTAATTGCTAGTATGTATGCTACTAGAGTGAGTTCTGTTGTCACCATCCCCTCCAGTTTCTGTTACGTTGCATTACAGATGCCTTTAGAAAGGATTAAAAAATCCTTTGGGGCCAGCCTGATTTACAGGGCAAATTCCAGGACAGTCAGGGATACACAGAGAAAAAACACAAATCAATAAATAAACAAAGAAAGAAATATATGTTTTAAACCGGGCAGTTGTGGTGCGCACTTTTAATCCCAGCACTCATGAGGCAGAAGCAGGTGAAGATCTGAGTTCAAGATCAGTTTGGTCTATAGAGTGAGTTCCAGGACAGCCACAGCTCTAAGGAAGAAGAACCCTGTCTCAAAAAAAAAAAACCCAAAAATACATAAATAAACAAGTAAGTGAATAACAAAAAGCGGCAACAACAACAAAAAAACCAAACAAACATGATATCATTCACATTACATTGACCTCATCTTTTCAACAATTTCAACTGTCCATTTCAGTGACATTTAGTAGTTTTACAGTGTCGTACAACCATTGCTACTGTCTAGCTCCAAAACGTTTTCATCACCCCCAACAGGACCCATGGCCATTAAACAGTCACATACATCCCTTCCCTCCATGACCCGTGGCCCTGGCCTTCCAACTTCATGGTTTGCTGACTGTAGATGTTGTACTTGCAGACTAGAGTAGCATGGTCTTTTCTGTTTGACTTCTTCCACTTAGCATGGTGTCTGCAAGGTTCCTCCGTGTTATAATATGTGTTGTGAGTCCTTTGCTCTGTTCCGTGTCTGCATGATTTCTTAGATTTAGTCTACACATCCACCAGTTTATCGTGCATGCTTCCACCTTTTGTTACTATAAATGCTGCTGACATAAGCATTCGTCTGCAACTTTCCCTTTGAACACCGGTTTTCAGTTCTTTCAGAAGTAAAATGTGTAATAATTCTGTGCCTACATTTTTTTGAGAAACTGCTGGACTCTGCTATGCCAGGCTGTAAATTCTATGTTTGCACTGACAATGGATTCTAACTTCTCCACATCCTTCCCAATGCCAGTTACGTCTTATTGTTATTGTTGTTGTTGTTATCATGATGTGAAATGGCGTCTCACTGTGGTTTGAGAATAGTTTTGTAGTACTGGATTTGTATGTGTCTCCATATTAACCTGTCTCATTTCAAAGCTCCATGAAAAACCATATATACACCCCTATAGGGGGAGGTACCCAGTGTCTTCTGACCACCAGAGTCTGTAATATGTGGTGTGGCCTCACCACTGTGGGCTAAGTAGAGGTGATATCCAACCTCTCTAATTCTCTGGCCTCTCTAGTAACTTTTCTTTTGGTTTTAGGAATTTCCTGCAAGCCTTCCAAAATGGTCTTTAGACACACTGGATAAGAGTCGACACTCGCCTGCGTGGCCTTCAGCCTCTCAACTCCACCATCTTCTCATGGCATTTTGGTTGCACTGAGCCCAAGTGAACAGCTCTTCATAATGAGTGATGAGAAGAACCTGGGTGTGTCCCAAAAATTGGTTTCTCCTTCAAGAAGCACGAGTAGCTGTTCCTCCAAGCAAGGAAGCCGACAGGTAACCTTGAACTATTGTCGCTCTTTAAAAAAGTGCAAATTGGATTACGAGAATTTGCAGGTAAAGCAGTGTGCTCTCTTGGGAAACTCCATCTCAGTGAAAGGCCAAGCACTTGTTTCCGTACCTGGTTACATGACGAGAATTGATTCATGTTCCTCCAGATATTGAGAACTGAATTTGGATTTTTGTATTGTTTCCTCAATCTTTGCAACCATCTACCAACATAGGTACTGACACCCCCATTTTCCCTCCAAGGAAGTGGAGTCATACAGACCAGATTACCTGCCCCAGAGAGGACCAGATGCCAAGCTAGAGCTCCACCTCTTTTGCTCCAGGGCTTACCTTTTTTAGATACTTATTATTTTTACTTTATGTGGCCAGCTGTTTTGCCTGCATGTATGCCTGTGCACCACTCAGATGCTGGAAGATGGCACCGGTTCCCCTGGAACTGGAGTTCTTAGAGCTGGTTGTCAGTTGCCTTTGTGGGTGCTGGGAAATGCACCCAGAGCCTCAGCAGGAGTGACCAGTGCTCTTAACTACTGAGCATCTCTCCATGACCAATGCTCTTAACTACTGAGCCATCTCTCCATGACCAGTGCTCTTAACTACTGAGCCATCTCTCCATGATCAGTGCTCTTAACTACTGAGCCATCTCTCCATGACCAGTGCTCTTAACTACTGAGCATCTCTCCATGACCAGTGCTCTTGACTACTGAGCATCTCTCCAGCCCCTCCCACCTTTCCTTATTAACCAAAATAAGCAGCAAACGCATATCCAGTAATTAAATATCCACCCCACTTTCTTATATTCACCAGACTTTTGAGGAGAGCACGTACCTCCAGACTGCCCGTGAGGAGCTAAAGCCTCGCCTGCTTTCCTTTTCTAATGGGACCAGGGGAGCTAGTGAAAGGGGAAAATGGGACGCGACAGGAAGGAAACAGTAGAACAGAGGGCAGCATTAACTCCTAAATAGCCGGCAGTGGTCACAGTTTGCTTCCTGGTTTCCTTTCCAAGGAAAGGAAAATATGGCTTTGTTGGCAGATCTACTGGTGTCCAATCTGTGGCAATAAAGACATATAATGAAGCCATCTGTCCTGCTTTACCAAATTGGGGGTGAGTTGGTAGGGGATTTGCAAGAAAGATGGATTTTTCAATCGGAGAGACCTTTGAGCTGTTCAGTATTTACTGGCTCTGTGGGCATTGCCTTTTGCCCCTTGGGAAGTTCTGGCCTAAGAATTTGCTTCTGTCCAGATTTGGAAGCAGTAATTAAGCCATGGCCCACCTCGGGAACGTTGCACAAAGGTGATTCAGCCAAATGTCTCTTAGTTTGAACATTTGTCTCGGTCAGGGAGCTTGCCACCCACAAGTCTACGATTCTTAGTAAATTAAAGTTTGTTGTGAGCTTGACATGCAGGGAGCCCTTTAAAATCTCTTCTGATAGTTAAGAGGTTTGTTTTTGTTGTTTAGCATTTATCTTTACGTGTATGTTCACACATGCACAAGCCTGTGCCAAGGTGTACAACACGGGGAGGCTGGAGGACAACCCCACGTGTAGATTCCTTTCAGTTCTGCCTTATTTGAGACAGTGTCTTTCCCTGCTGCCACCAGGCTAGTTGTCCTGCAAGCCTCCCGGGACTCTCACCTTGTGAGAATGCTGGCTTTCCAGATGCTTCTGCTATGCTGTGTGTATAGTGAATGACCCAGGTCCTCCTGCTTGCGTGGTGTGCTAGCTAGGTTTTTTGTTTGTTTTATTTTGTTTTGTTTTTGTGGATGTTGTTGTTGCTTTTGTCAACATGACACAAACTCAGGTCATATGTGAAGGTGAAACCTCAGTTGAGAAAAATACCTCTGTTAAATTGTCCTGTAGGCAAGTGTATGGGGGCATTTTCTTGATTAAGGATTGTTGTAGGTACTGCTCATACACCCCTAGGCAGTTACCCCGCGGTTGTATAAGAAAACAAGCTAAGCAGGTCACAGGGAGCGAGTCAGTCAGCAGCACTCCTCCATAGTTTCTGCTTCCGTTCCTGCCTCCAGGTTCCTGCTCTGGCTGTGTTCCTGTCTTAGCCTTCCCCCAATGATGGACTGTAATCAGGTTGTGTAAGCCGAATAAACTCTTTTGACTATGGTCTTTATCACAACAAAGAAAGCAAACTAAAACATGTGACAAGGACTTTTACCCACTGACTTAACAACCTTGCCTCTGGGATTTTTTTTTTTAAGATTCAATTTGTTGCTGGCTAATGTACCAGGTCCCTAGAGATCTCTCTCGTGGGGAGGACTGTGCCTGCTCACTTGACCAGCTTCAGCCAGCACTCAGTCAGGACTAGAGAGGAGTGTGATTCATCCTCCTACTCAGGCGGCTTACTCCTTTGCCCCACAGGGAGCATAGGTCCAGTGAAGCTGTGGCATTTCCATCTTCACTACAGGAATTCTTTCTAGCACTCCTTGAGATTGGTTGATTTGGTTTTCCCATTGCTGTCTTCCTTCCCAGTTCCCATAAAAATAGCAGGAGGATCCTACCCAGTGCTTCAACTTCTTTTGACCATTCATCACACGGTCATCTTTTATATCTTAGACCTTCCTCTTTAATTTTAATAACCGGCACACAGGGTTGTTGTGTGCGCTGGTCAGGTTTTTGTCAACTAGACACAAACTGGAGTCACCTGGGAGGAGGGGACCTCAGTTGCAGAATGGCCCCTGTGGATTGACCCGTGGGTATGTTTGTGGGACTCTGACTTGATTGCTCGTTCATGTAGGAGGGATCCGCCCACTGTGGGCTGTATCACCCCTGCACAGGTGGCCTGCGTGGTATGAGAAAGCTGATCAACCCACGGGGAGCAAGCCAGTAAGCAGTGTTCCTCTAGGGTCCTGCCTTATTAAGCTTCTGCCCTGACTTCCTTCGGGAACCGACTCGTCGGGACGTGTGAGCCCAACAAACCCTTTCCTTCCCAGGTTGCTTTCGGTGTTGGTCACAGCAAAAGAAGGCAAACTAGAACACTTTATTGACATAAAGTTCATATTTCCTCCTGCAGAGAAAGTGGAGAATTCAATATACGTATTTTGCAGCTAGTCTGTAAAGAAAATGATTTAGTTTCATTTGGAAGGACTGTGTGTGGAGTCTACCTACTGTCCCATTTTCAGACAAACAAAAGCGCTCTGACCCAGGATAGCACAGCTTTCCCATCCACGATGCCTCTGTCATCAGTCTTTGCTTGGCTCACACACTGGCTGGGACACTGCTTGGGCCTCAGGAGCCTTGGGAGCTCTCCCTTGCTGGCCCTTTGGGGACTCAGCTGTTCCCACTGCATCTGTCCGTGGCAAAATAGAGCACACTGCATTTCCAGCCTCATCACAGGAAGTAAAAGTTGGAAGCTTAAAACGGCAGGATTTCCACAGTCACGGGCTGAACCGTGGCATGGTGCAATGTTGATTGGTGAAGACATGTGCGGCCACCTCCTTGTATCCAAGGTGCCACTTTGAAACCCCTTTCAGCTTGCCCTGAGCTTTCCTTTCATGTGGAGTGGACTCACCCCTGTCGACGTCACTGGCCATTATCTGTGTGCACCTAGCGCGTCTCCTGGGAGATCTGTAGTCACCTGCCTTGGTTTGGGATGTGCTGTTGCCTAGCTTCCGCTCCCAGGGACTCTGATCCAGGGCAAGTGTCACGTTGCATTGGGACTCAATTTCCGTGGCGAGAATGGAATGTCCCAGATCCCCAGAAGACCAGCAGCTAACCTGGCCCAGGTTCAGCTTCCTCCTTCTACCTCCCCGGATGAGCAGATGGCAAACCCCCTTTCCCTGTGCTGCGGGGACTTCTCTCTGAATCATCTCCATTTGCTGAGCCTGGCGCAGGTGGGGATGGTTTGGCTCCCTTCGCTTCCAGAAGTAAGCCAACAAACACCTTTGCCCGCACTATGTTTTTATATTTTTATTTTGTTTCAGATCCATGGAGATTTCTCAAACTTTTAAAAACATAATCTCCCCCATGCTCTTACCTTTATTGAGATGTAACTAACAAATGAAAATTATATATATGTATATATTTATAGTCTATACTCTGCATACAGTGTGAATGATGAACGTAGGCCAGATAACAAATGTACAGATCTTTCTACGTTGTTATTTCTGGAGTGTGGATATCAAGAGCCGAGCCTCACCTAGTGGGTGGACTCCAGGCTAATGAGAGACCCTATCTTAAAATAAGATAGCTCCTAAAGTACAACATCTGAGGTCCTCCGGCCTTCACCTGCACATATGTGACCATTGTCCTCTGGCCTCCACCTGTACATATGTGACCATTGTCCTCTGAGGTCACCTGCACACGTGTGAACATGCACACACATAGAGACCTTCTGTCCTGACAAATGTCACATATAGCTTTCTCATGGTATTCACAAAGGTATTGGTTTCAGGAGCTCCCACTGATAACAGAATTTAAGAATGCACAGTCCCTTTGTGTGGAATGCAAAGGCTTTCATCAGTCAACTAGAGTGCCCTCCTCTATTCGTCAAGTGGTCTAGATTCCTGATAGAAATATTATGTTAGCAGTTGCTGCACTATATATTCAGGGAATGATGACACAAAGAAAAGTCTATATGTGTTTGGACACAATTTACCTTCGAATGTTTTCAGTCAGTAGTTGGTTGACTTCATGGATGGCAGAACCCAGGGGTGGACAATGTGGTTTTTCTCACCATTGTTCCCATGTTGCACCTTAGATCTTCAGATTTTCTTTTCCCTGAATAACTGGAACGTTGAACTTTGAACCCACACCCCGTGTCCTCTAATCTACTGATGTGATGCACTGTAATCCTGCATTCTGCTTTTGAGAGTTCAAGTTCTAGATGGCACGTTTATATAAGATGGTGCAAAGTGTGCTCTCCAGTGTCCAGCATAGTCTCCTCCAGTTCTTGCATGTTGTCGCCAATGAAAAGAGTTCATTTTTTTAAAGGCAGAATAATACTTCTTTCCAAAGAAAATATATTGCGTGTGTTTATAT